AGATAGAAGTGAAAACGTGTTATATTGTAACATAAGTAATACTGTTCACTTTCATATACATGTTTAAATGTTGAAATATTTCACTATTTCTGTTAATATGTTAGAAGAGGTAAAGGAAATACATATAACTAACATATTGTAAAACTTAATGGTTTAATGATTTCATCTTTGGAGTATTTCACTATAGGAATTCCTTTAAAATTGGTAGAGAAATTAACATTCTAACAATATCACACATCAAAAGCTACATCAAATCTTTCAAAATTTCATTATTTGTACTCTTTTTCTTCATTTTAATTTTTGTCATATTATCATTTCAGAATAATCTAATAGGTTTGTTTTATAGTTAACATATCATTTTGTTTGAGCTTTTCAGTTATCCCTTTACATAAATCCAGTTGTTTTCTGTATTGGTGAATTATAATTGTAAAGTTCAAACTTTAACTTACATGTGTCAAAAAATATTCCTTTTAAAAATGTTAATGTCAGAAAAGAATATCCAGTTAACATGTCTAAACCAGAATTCAATCTTACTAAAGTTCTTTAAACCATTTCATTTTATAAACTTTCTTGAGTTTCATATTATGAAAACTACATGAAATTATAAACTTTTTTCTATTGATTGAATGGTTATACATTTTTATAAGATAAAAAAACATTATTTAATGTTTTGTTACAATTTTACTTTGTAACTTTTTTGTCTCATTTCAATCTATAGTTTTATTTGAGGTTCAACTTAATAAGGAATGCAACATAAAATTCATTACATTAATAATTTGTGTATTAAAAGTTAGTCTGTGAACAATCCAAGGGTATTTCAAATTTCAGTGACAACTACAATTATTATAAAACCTAAAATACTTACCATTTTTGGGATAAAGCAAACTATGAGAATTACATGTTGCATCATCTTTGCTACCATAATGCTTCTCTCTCCCAGATTTATCACAGAAGTCACTTTCACTGCTACTACTACTTGAGCTAGAACGATCTAGACAATACAATGGATTCTTAAAAGCCAAGGGAGGTTGTAAGTTATATTGGCCCTCAGAAGAAAAGGTCATTCGTATATGAGACAGATCCGGGGAATGGTCATTTCCTACCGACTGGTAACCTGAAGACCCTAAAGTTGATATCTGAAAGCAATATATATATATATATGTAATTCATAATTGAAATTTCTTGCTCTCTTTGCATCCTGAGTGCATTCCATCCTAAATCCACTTTCTGCAACTTTCTCTTCTGATACAGGAATTATGAATTCTGTGTTATAAATTATAAGTAACACAAATAAGTTAAAATGTAGCAATTATCATTTGCAAAACCAACCTCTGAAACAGAAATTGGTACTTTTTAAGATAATTACCGAATCTGTATATGTACAGAGGGTTGAGCACATTAAATTGAAACAATTTTGAATGTGCAAAAGTTTTTGTTTAATCTTATTCTATGCAGTTTTCACACAAATACATGGTCCAGAAAATTGTTAAGTTGGTTTTGTTCTAGCTATCTTTGTTGTTCTCTAGAAATAATACCTGTGCTTCCCATATAAATATTGCTGTAATGCTGCACATTGTGCTATAATATCAATGACAGCGGTGTTCATCAGTAATAAAGCACATGGTATCTAAAGTTATGGTCTTCCCTGTGTTAAACGGGAATAACCAGTTACATGGGTGGTGCCAGTCACTAAGATTTAATCCAACATTTCCTGTTAAGTAAGAATCATTGGATTCATACAGTTTTAACAGGTTTTTTAAGTGAGTCGCTTGACAGGAAGACATCTGGGAAGTTAATTGATTCACAAGTCCAGTAGAAGGTGACTGTCCAGTGTACTCTGCAAGTATGCACACCATTATTTATTTTGAGTTACATATCATGTCCATTCTCAATATTTTTTCTTAGATTAAAACTTGATCCTCTCATTACAAAGTAGACCTACCAAAAAGTCTTTGAAAATCAGTTAACCTGTAAATACCACATCAGCAATCATGTGACAACCACAGCTGATACACATCAGATCACAAAGATGTTCAGATTGATGATTTAAAACTTCCAAGATAGGGATATCTCTTGTACTTAAAAGCATTGTTCAAGAAAGGAATATGGATCAACTTGGGGCACCAAGACCATCCAGAAAAAAACCTGCAACAATTCGTACCTCAGACATGGTAAGCAAATTATAACATCTTGTAACAGGTGAGAATTCAGAACCCAAAGGTCAGTGGTAAAAAAAAATCCATTTACCCCAAGCAGTGGTACATAGCATAACTAAGAAAGAACTCTTATGAAGGCCAACGGGGTATAAGTTTACAGAGATATCAATCATACCCCCTATTCAACTGTTGTATATCTCAATCAGTTGGAGAATGAAATGGAATTCATGCTATTTGATATTAAAAATACCAGTTAAATCACCAGATGCATTGCCTATGGATTTCTGTGTGATCAGACCTTTGAAATTAGCACTAGGGAACCATCGTCCTCATACACTAGATATATTATTGAAACCATCAGTGTGGAGTACTACTACCTTAGACATGAAAGCCTTATGGTGTAGAATTTTGCAATTAAAACTATACCGCAAGGCTACTGTCAAGATGTGTGACTGTCAGCTAAAGCATGACTGGACAGGGTGACATGGAATGCAATGATGTGATAAAGCTCCAAAATTGTTTTAAT